GCGCGGTGTTTGCTGGCGTCAGGCGGGAGATTACGGCTGTTTCATGGTGTCATTATCTCGGATTTAAAAAGCACACACACGCAACGCAATTCAAACAAGCAAAGTTGCGTTTTAAGTCCGCTCCGAGTATCTGCTGATCAAATAAAGACTTAAGGGCGGTAACGATTATTCTGTTAAATATATGGTACTTGACTGCACAAGCAGTAATTGATTAGCGCACCGAAATGAGCTCTCTCCGGCGCTTCCCCCTCCGCCGGTGGGGCGGGAGGCTCCGCGGGGGGAACCTCGCCGGGGGGAGCCCACGGCCGGGCCCCCCGACGGCCGGGAGCCGGGACGGTGTGCCGGCCTCGTCTCCCCAGCCCCGGGCCCCTGCGAACCGCAGCAGCGGTGTCCTGCGCGGTCCTCCGCTCCGGCGGCTTTTGCGCACCAGGGCCGCTTAGTCGTGGGGATCCCCCCCCTCAAAGAGTAACGGGGAAAATTATTTTAAAAAGAAAAGGTGCTTGTGGGACGGGAGGGAGGAGGGTGTGACTCCACGGCCGCGCTTTTCTACCGTTAGAAATCGAACCCCCACAGAGGCCGGCGTGTCGCGGGGCTCCTCAGTTTGTTTGGGGTTGGTTTTGTGGTCCGTTCTTGAAGAAAAAATTGACGTTGTAGTTTCCTGCAAGCTCGAGGGAGTAACTTATATTCGCTATGATATTTGCCTTGGTAACTAATCGCTAAACGCGTGGCGGTGAAATATTTTTAATTAAACTGTAAATTGCAGACAGATATTGATAACGAAGAAGCTGACAACGTTTCGATTAGATCCGTGACATCACCTCGCGTTGGCCTGGGAAACAATCACAGCCGTTGACTTCGGCCTCGAGATGCTCTAGATAATTTTGGTTTATTTTATCCTAAACATTTCCTGACACCATTAATTAGATTTCAGGTCAAATTTTTCTTCTTTCGCATATACACATTTCCTTATCTCTCCGTCGCTATAAGAAACGGAGACACTGTTAACGTTAACATTACAACAAAAATCAGAGAGCTGTGGAAGTGTTTAGGCGTGGGGGAGCGATTGGAGAGGTAGAAACAGTGCGGGGTCTGTATGTAATTTTTAGCGCAAAATAAAATACGGAAAAGCTTCGAGCACCCAGGGAAAATGAAGGGAGGTTAGCAGAGGATGCCTTCGGAGGCGCGATGCAGCGGCGCTGAATTCTTACAAATATGTGTGTTTGTTAATTGCCGGAAATAAATAAACCCGCCGTGGAAATTCTGAATTTATTGGGGAAAAAAAAAAAAAAAGCTCATGATACTCGCTTCCAGGGCCGTACACGCAACATGCTTAGCAGACAGTTGTCGTGATTTTAAAAGTTTCCTGCGAGCGTGCCCGGAGGCTGGGGCTGCTTTTAGCTCACGGACCCAACACAAGCAGCCACACGCACACGGCCGCGGGCGGTCCCGGACAGCATCCCCTGGGCCGGGCTCCCAGTGCACGGTCTACCGTGAGCACCCCACGGGGGACAGCGACATACCGGGAAGCG